CACAAAAACAGTACAAAAAGTAAAACGGGAGGGGGGAAGTAGAATGGATGTATTATGAGATGCTTTCGTTATGTGTTATACAATCTATTTGGCAAAGGGTCATTTATTCGGGGAATTCCTGTTTCCAATCAGTTGGCAAACTAACACAAACTCTTCAATCTCCAACTTCTTAAGGACAAAACTCGGGGGGGGGGGAAACACTTTGGGTTGCTCACAATTGACTTTGACTTCTCGTGATTAAATAAATTCAGTTCTTTCTTTCTTTATAACATTCACACATTGTCAACTCCTAAGCGCACAGAATTAAAAATACATTTTGATGATAATAAAATCATAAACACAACACTGCAGGGACTACAGCTAATTTGGCTGCTCATCGTAAGCTTTTGAATGTCTAAATTAATAGAAGCAATTTTAGCCTAAATCATAGCAAGTCAGTTCAATGCTTTGTTTCTAGGGGAAAAAAAATAACGCTGCTATCAAAAGCCTTTCATCTTGGTTGTCAGAAACGGATTCTTTAGATAAAGTCGGATTAAAAAAACCCCCATCTATTTAACAATGTTTGTCATCTCCCTGCAGAAATACAGTTATCTAAGAATGCCAGTAGGAATCTGTCACGCTTCAGAATTATTTTGAAACAGACTGAGATGGACCCAGTGGTGGGATTCAAATTTGTGAACAACCGGTTCTCTGTGTGGATGCCGCTTCCAGAAGTCCATTCTGGGCCTGGGCAACAAACAATTAGCTACCGGTTGTGCCGAAGTGGTGCGAACCGGCTGAATCCCACCACTGGATGGACCTATTAGAGCTAGTCTGGTGGGATGTGGTGAGGAGGTGGACCTCTGGAAAGGAGAGCGATGCAACGGAGAGGAGTAAGAAGCAACTTAGCCCAGGTATTATGTGTAAGAGAAAGAGAGAGAAGACAGACCTCCCGCCTGGACTACTGTAACGCTCTCTACATGGGGCTCCCCTTGAGGAGCACTCGGAGGCTCCAGTTAGTCCAGAATGCAGCCGCGCGGGCGGTGATGGGAGTGACTCGTCGCTCCCATGTAACGCCGCTGCTGCGCGAGCTGCACTGGCTGCCTGTGGCCTTCCGGGTGCGCTTCAAGGTGTTGATTATCATCTTTAAAGCGCACCATGGCATCGGACCCGGCTACCTCCGAGACCGCCTTCTGCCACAGATCACCTCTCACCAGCCGATACGCTCCCACAGAGAGGGTCTCCTCAGGGTGCTGTCAGCCAGACAGTGCCGGTTGGCGACCCCCAGGGGGAGAGCCTTCTCTGTTGGAGCTCCCACCCTCTGGAACGAGCTGCCCCCAGAGATCCGGGTGATTCAGGATCTCCCCTCCTTCCGCCGCGCCCTCAAGACATGGCTGTTTCAGCTGGCAGGACTGGCCTAGGGATATTTTACATTGGATTTTAATCAATTTTTAAAATATGAAAAGGCCTATTTAAATATATCTTTTAATTTATTTTAAATTTTGTATATTTGTATTAATTGTTTTGTTTTAACTGGCTGTAAGCCGCCCTGAGTCCACCAGGAGAAGGGCGGGATATAAATACAATAAACTCTAAACTCTAAACACTCTACTTAATACAGTTCACAGAGTATATTGTAGATGCAGGCAGTAGAGTCCTCAGTCTGACGGCATTTTGTTCTACAGGTGTGAAACAATCAAGAACTCAGCCACCCGTCATTCTTAGCTTTGGGCCCGACAGTTGACAAGAATCTGAATATGAGTGGACAATGTGATACAAGAGAGAGAATTTCTAACAAGCCATTCAGGTCAGTGTCTGTAAAGTAAATAGTCCGTAAACTCATTTCTTCTGGGGAGAAAAGTCACATTGAGTAAGGAGAAAGTATGTATAGCTCTCTAAAGCTGCGTTTCTTTACCTTGGGTACTTGAAGAGGTGTGGCCTTCAACTCCCAGAATTCCCCAGCCAGCAAGGTATGCGCCATGCGGAAGCCGTGCCCACCCCAGCTCCGGCAAGGGGGAAAGAGTTGCTATAGGTCACGACACATCACGTGACGTGGCGAGTTTGACACCCCTCACCTAGACTGAGTGGTCAAGCTGTCAGGAAAGTTTATCTGCTTATTGACATCAGAGGTGACCATCTCCTCAAATGATTGCAACCAGAAGAATGAAGAAAGCTCCAGCCTTGTAAACTCAGAGTTAAATTGGATCTTAAAAGTGATAGCATTCAATTGTTGAACTTTATGTAACCTTATCTTTTGTTCCTCCACTAATCAATCTGATTAGAGAAGTTTCTGTAAGTATACTTAGTTGTCAAGAACTTGACATGCAGTCTTGGCAGTTTTGAACATGAATGTACTTATGGATTCCTCCTCCCACCTCTTTGCTTCGCCTGAGTAGCAGTTTTCAACTAGTCTTGCCAAAAATGCAAAACATTTTGTGATCAGGGAAAGTATATTATTTTGCAAGAACACTTATGTAAGTTGATCGTATCTGGGCTGTAAAGCTATATGACCACTAGATGGCAGCAGAGGGAATAGTTCAGAATCTCTTTGCTGCCAGCTTGTGGTTGTCTAGATTTTTGCAGCCCAGATATCAGCCTAATTTATAACATGCTCATAAATTTCCAAATGTGCCCAGCGACCTGAACGCAACGAGTACAGTATGCCCGTCTCAGAGGTTTTTTGGCAGTAATACCAAAAATGTGACAATTTATATGTTATTTTGTTATTGTGTAGGCTCAACCTCCAGAAGGCAGTACAGAAAATAACATAATTGATTCATGATTAACATATTAAACGGTCCAACTAAAGACAGGAAACACATCCTGAAACTATTGCACAAAATGATTAAGTCCAGCACTCCGACATCTGGTTCAAACCAAGGACACCCAGTCATCTCTTTGGTATATTTTCCAGAAGCTGTTTTTTCTAAATGTTTTATTTTTGGTTACGTCAAGCTGGCGTCCTTTCGATTAGATAAATCTCCAAGCACTTTCGATTAGTGCCACTTTCGGTCATGTGGCATTATGTTATCTTCCAGTTTAGTCTATTCAGGATGTATAAGTGACTGCTTATTTTCTTATTTTCTCCCTGAAAGAGCATTTTGAAACATAAAACCTTTCTTGCCCAACCTTGAACTTGTAAAGGGAATATCCGTGTGAAAGAACACATTACACAACTGTAAATAAAGCCTCCCCCCCCACTGACTTCCAATGAAGTCGGGCCCACGGCAGCCAAAGCTTCTGAAGTCTTTACCCGGCCCAAAAGATTAACAATGTTGTTGATGTTAGTTGCGAAGTCGTGTCCGACCCATCGCGACCCCATGGACAATGTTCCTCCAGGCTTTCCTGTCCTCTATCATCTTCCGGAGTCCATTCAAGCTCACGCCTGCTGCTTCGGTGACTCCATCCGGCCACCTCATTCTCTGACAAAATGTGATCCACTGGAGAAGGAAATGGCAACCCACTCCAGTATCTTTGCCATGAAAACCCCATGGACAGTACCAAAAGGCAAAACTGGGAAACATTGAGGGCAATAGAAGAAGGGGACGACAGAGATTAACAATAATCATAAGTAAATTTCACAGAAAAGAATGAATTAAGCTAGTCCTCGACTTACAACAGTTCATTTAGTGACCACTGAAAATTACAATGGCACCGACAAAGGGACTTATGACTGTTTTTCATACTTACGGCTGTTGTATCATCTCCATGGTCACATGATCAAAATTCAGACGCTGGGCAACTGACTCATATTTATGACGGTTGCAGTGTCCCGGGGTCACGTGATCGGCTTTTCCGACTTTCTGATGAGCAAAGTCAATGGGGGAAGCCGGATTCACTTCACAACCGTGTTACTAACTTAACAACGGCAGTGGTTCACTTAACGGCTGTGGCAAGAAAGGTCATAAAACGGGGCAAACCCCACTTACCAACTGACTCGTTTAGCAGCAGAAATGTTGGGCTCAATTGTTGTTAAGTCATACAAGTTACTTTGGGGGAAATATCCCAATCTATGTCCTTTGGGTAACACCGTAAGTCCCGTAGTTCTCATCCAGATAATTATGATGGCTGGATTTGAAAGGAACTGCTTCTTGAATGTGACCAACAATATGTGTAATAGCATTGTAAGAAGTATGCTTAGAATGTTTCCAATCAATAGGCCATTAACATACCTGATAGCTGCCTTTCAACTTTGGTTGTTAACAACTGCACCTATTGTTAAGCAACTATATCAAAAGTTCAGAGAAGAGCAACTAAGATGATCAAATATTTAATTTTATTTAATTTATTTAATTTGATTTTAGAATAGATATTTATTGTGATTTTTATTATTGCCTGTTCACTGCCCTGAGTCCCGTAAGGGAGATAGGGCGGTATACAAATCTAAATAAACATAAACATAAACAAAGGCCTGGAGACTAAAACATATGAAGAACAGCTGCAGGACTTGAGTCTGGCTAGTCTAAAGAAAAGAAGAAATAGGGGTGACATGAAAGCAGTATTCCAGTACTTGAGGGGCTGCCATAAAGAAGAGGGGGGTCACGTTATTTACCAAAGCACCAGAGGCCAGGACAAGAAACAATGATTGGAAACTGAACAAAGAGAGAAGCAACCTAGAATTAAAGAGAAACTTCCTGACAGTGAGGACAATTAACCAGTGGAACAGCTTGCCTCCAGAAATCGTGGAGGCTCCATCACTGGAGATTTTTAAGAAGAAGCTAACATTCACTTGTCTGAGAAGGTATAGGTTCTCCTGCTTAAGTGGGGGGCTGGACTAGAAGACCTCCAAGGTTCCTTCCAGCTCTATTCTGTAATAATATGTAATATCTGCCTCAGACACCCTCTCCCCCTCAGTATCCTGGAATATTTCACCAATGCAGTTTGTGCCTCTCTCTCTCTCTCTCTCTCTTTTGGAATTCTGGGAGTGGAAGTCCACGAGTCATAAAAGAGCCAAGGTTGCCTACCCCTGTCCTAACTAGAGGAAGGGGCCTGCTACATGCCCTGCCACACGGGTAGTCCTCTCTCTCTTTTGCAGTCTGGATTAATTCCTGAAAGAGTCCATTGGTAAGTGCCTCAAAGCCTTCCACCGTTCAGGTTGAAAATATTAAACTAGTGAGATGTTTCCAGTCTCATGAATTTAGCAACCAGGGCAGCTAAAAAGAAGAAGAACCAGCCAAGACAATTTGGGGGACAAAAGTTCATGTAATTAACAAATAATGCAAGATAAATATTTACATTGCCCCGAGTAAGAGGATTGTCCAATTCCTCAAACAAGAGGACTGTTCGGTTGTTCACCATGGAAGGACTTTCCCTTCCCAGTTGAGAAAAGTGCCAGAGTCCTTCTCAGAAAGATGAGCCAGAAGTTTTAGGATAGCTGCTACACTTGATTCCGCTGTCATTTCAGCCTAGAGAAATGAGAATCATATTTATACTGAATAAAAACAAAAAAAGAGACCGGTGGCCTTTAAGAACATTTATCATTTCATTATCAACAATTAAGGACTTCCTCCACTCTACTTTTCAAACTGTTGGGCCAACTTTCATTGGACTTGCCACGGAACTGATGATGATATAATACTCATTGGCTCTAGCCAACATTAACTGCAATCCAGCTGGGAAACATTAAGTTGGGGAAACACTGTATGATTATAATTTAATATAAGTTAACTACCGTAACAGTAAGGCCACTTTGGGTAATGGGTTGAAGTAAAGCTGAATTGTATGTATGTAGCACAAGGTTTCTCATCAATGATGCACAGGTAGCGCTTGACTTACAACAGTTCACTTAATGATCATTCGAATTTACAACGGCACTGGAAAAAAGTGATTTATGACTATTTTTCACACTTATGACCTTTGCAGCATCCCCAGGGTCACATGATTTACATTCAGATGCTTGACAACCGACTCATATTTATGACGGTTGCAGTGTCCAAGGATCATGTGATCCCCTTTTCCCCTCAGACAAGCAACAGTCAGTGGGGAAAAGCAGATTCACTTAACGGTGTTACTAATTTAAGGACTGCCGTGATTCACTTAACAAATGTGATGAGAAAAATGAGGCAAGACTCACTTAACAAATTTCTTACTTAGCAACAACAATTTTGGGCTCAGTTGTGGTTGTATGTTGAGGACTACCACCACAAAGAAAACTCCCTCTTTCAATATTTGGGCATCAGAGGGAGACACCAGATCAGATGGGACATCTGATGGAGAAGCCAAAACAGGAGCTTTAAGGTTGGAACTCTAGAACTCAAAAGGTTCCACTTTGTCCCATTGAACTCCTGCAGAAGACTAAGATGTGACATGAAGCATGAAGGGTAATCAAACTCAGCTCTATGGGGACTAGGTCTTCAGAAGCTGTCACCAGTGGTGGGATTCAAATATGTGAACAACCGGTTCTCTGTGTTGATGCTGCTTCTGGAAGTCCATTCTGGGCCTGGGCAACAAAAAATTAGCTTCCGGTTCTGCCAAACTGGTGTAAACTGGTTGAATCCCACTACTGGCTGATACCCACAGTAGACAAAAACAGTGTCCATGCCCAAAGCAACGTACCACCAAATCGTTCATTGCTGGAGGCAAACGCTCACTTTCCTTGACTTCTTAAAAAATTTTCAGGAGATTCAGCTACAGTTTCACCCAAGCGAAAACTTATAAATGAATTAAACAAGCCTACAGTAATTTTGTTTGGGGTTTGGGCCAATTGATATTATCTGCTCTGGGTCGTGGTGGGTGATTAACCCCAGATATCCCCATCCAAAAGTATGAATGAGTTTTCAGAACAAAAGACCTACCATACTGCCTCCCATGTCGGTGATCACCCATCCCGGATGCAATGTGACACACAGAATCTCATCCTCGCTATACGCCAACGATTGGCAGCGTGTCAGCATATTCAGAGCGGCCTAGAAAAGAGACATGCCAGAAGCAGGGAATTGCACCAAGCGGGCTCCATGAGCAAGCAAAAATGTATGTTTTATCATTTCAATGTCAGAATGGGGTTTGAATTTGAGGGCAGGGCAGGGCAGGGCAGGAAAAGAAAGGGAAGGAAAGGAAAGGAAAGGAAAGAAGGAAGAAAATAAAGAAACGGAGAGGAGGGAAGGGAAGGGAAGGGAAGGGGAAGGGAGGAGAGGAGAGGAAAGGAGAGGAGAGGAGAGGAGAGGAGAGGAGAGAGATTCCACAAATAAATAGAACATGAAATAGGAAAGCGATAGGTATTACATTTACATAATCAACCCTGGATTCTCTTTCTGATGCTTCTTTAGAAAGCAATGTTGGCTTATTCAGGATTCAATAACGTACCTCTGAATTCTTTTATGTTTGCCAATGTACGGTAATGCACCACTTACACCGCGCACCTTTTCTAAAACAAGATCAATATCCTTGTTATAGTGACCATGCAGTTTTGACAGTGAATGAAAAGTAACTTCCTAACAGCCTATCCTTCCACTGATGACCCTTGTGGTCTGTTAAAGCTAAGGAAAGCTGGAGTAAAAATCACAGGCATGGTCACGGTTTTACTTAGCAACCGCCTCACTTAACAACCGAGTTACTGGCCTCAATTGCGGTCACTGCACAGAGTTATTTTAATTACCCTCCACTCTTTGCGCCAATGTACATTGACTACCTTGCTGCAACGGTAAGGAAGAACCTGTCCGTACTTCCACAGGTAAACGTCTGTGATGGAACCTGCATGACTGGACATGTTGACAATGGAGGCTTTGCTGCAGCTCATCCCTTTCTTAGGACTTTCCTGAGATGCCTTTCTCAGCAAAGGCAGGAATGCCTAGAAAAAACAGACAGAACTTAGGCAGTGATGGCGAACCTTTTAGAGACCGAGTGCCCAAACTGCAACCCAAAACCCACTTATGTATCCTTGGGTGCTGGGTGGGCATGGCCCATTGGGTGGGCGTGGCCCATCGGGTGGGTGTGGCTGCGGTGGTAACGGCAGACTGGGTGGGACTAAAAAGTTCAATCAATCAATTCCAACTTTGCGAGATCTTTTTTTTCCCCGCGAGAAGTTGAAATTGATTGATTGATTGAACCTTTTTTTGTTTTTTGCACACGGCGGCGGAGGCCTAAAGCGAAAAGGTTTTATAAAACCAAGCTGAAGGCCTAGGACTGGGGCGACGGCGCGCGTGCCCACAGAGAGGACTTTGTGTGCCACCTGTGGCACATGTGCCATAGGTTTGCCACCACGGACTTAGGGCAACCACCTATTCATAGGCTTGGAAACCAGGGACCCCCTAATTGTTGCTAAATAACCATTCCCAGCATTTATCAGCATTAAGGATTGTTGTTTTACAATATCAAGGTGGACTCAGCCTTCCATCCTTCCAAGGTTGGTAAAATGAGGACCCAGATTGCTGGGGGCAATAGGCTGACTCTGTAAACTGCTTAGAGAGGGTTGTGAAGCACTGTGAAGCGGGATATAAATCTAAGTGCTCTTGCTATATCTACAGAACTATGGATTCGCCCTAGGAAATCAATAGCTGTCTCTTCCCGTTGCAAAGTCTATGGTCTAAAAACAAACCAGAATCCAGCAATTGCTCACAAAAGATGTGATTTTTTTTTCAATAGGGGCAACTGCCCACGCTTAAAAGCTGTATCTCTTGAAGTCCTTCCTCTTAATATTTGGCCCTGTGCTTTCGTTAGCTGGAGAAGGCACAAGTGTTATGCTCACCTCCAGGAAGCCCCATCAATCAATAAACTTCTTTTTCTGAACGCTAAGAACTTGGCAGTAGGAAGAAACAGTTGGAAGAGGAGGATCAAGAGATGCTTCCGATACCTGGCTAATCATCATGGGCCCAATGACGTTGGTTTTGTAGACTTCAGCCATTTCTTCAGGCGTTTGAAATTCCAGTTTGGAATTATTGGAGCCAACTGCTGCATTGTTGATCAGCAGATGCAACCCAGTTCCACTCAGCCGCTCTGTGACCATGGTTACAGCTGACTTGATACTGGATGGATCGGTAATGTCTACAGGAACAAGGAGAAGATACGGGTAATGCTCGACTTACAGCCACAGCTGAGCCCAAAGTTTCTGTTGCCGACACGTCTTAAGTCTTGCTCCATTTTATGACCTTTCTTGCGACAGTTGTTAAGTGAATCGCTGCAGATGTTAAACTAGGAGCACGACTGTTAAGTGAATCTGATTTCCCCACTGACTTCGCTTATCGGAAGGTCGCACAAGGGGATCACGTGACTTCCAGACTCATCATAAATATGAGTTACTTGCCAAGCAATCTGAATTTTGATCATGCGGCCATGGGGATACTACAATGGCTATAAGTGTGAAAATGGTCCTAAGTCACTTTTTTCCAGTGCTGTCGGAACTTTGAGCGGTCACTAAATGTACACTTGTAAGTCGAGGACTCCCTGTCTTGATGGGTGATGAGTCATTTCTAGCCAGAATTCGGTTTCTCGTGGTTTCCCAGTCAAGGATAAAAAACCAATTTAAACTGGGAAAGGAAAGGAGATGCTTTTCACCAGGGCAGCTCTGGCAACATTGTGCAGTGGGAATTTCCTAACTCAGGGGTAGGCAACCTTGGCTCTTTTATGACTCGTGGACTTCAACTCCCAGAATTCCTGAGCCAGCCATGCTGAGGGGAAAGAGAGAGGTTTCCAAGCTAAGCCATGCTGGCTCAGGAATTCTGGGAGTGGAAGTCCACGAGTCATAAAAGAGCCAAGGTTGCCTACCCCTGTCCTAACTAGAGGAAGGGGCCTGCTACATGCCCTGCCACACGGGTAGTCCTCAATTTATGACCACAAATGGGGACCAGAATTTCCATTGCTAAGTAAGATGGTTGTTGAGCGAGGTATGCCTGATTTTATGACTTTTCCCACAGTTGTTAAGAAAAATCACTGAAGTTGTTAAGTGGATCACACAGTCATGAGGCGAACCCGGCTTCTCCCATTGAGTTTGCTTGTCAAAATTCATCTGGGAAGGTGCCAAATGTTGATCTCATGAACCCGGGATACTGCAATCATCGTAAATACATGCCAGTAGCCAAGTGAATTTTGAGCACACAACTGTGGGGAATGTTGTGACGGTTGTAAGTGTGAGCAATTGGTTGCAAACCACTCTTTTTTCAGTCCCGTTGTCATTCTGAATGGTCACTAAATGACTGGTTATAAGTCAAGGACTACCTGTATAGTAACAGAAATATTATATCAGTTTCCAGGGTTAAATATTTCATTCCTACCAGTTCAAACAAATGTTCCAAACCCCTCTCTAGGAATTGAACTCAATGGTAGAAATGAAATTTGTATGGATAGTGATAAAGTAATACTGTCTTTCCCGGGGTATCGTCGGGACTAGTCACTTACTCAGTGGGATGATCACAATTTCCTGGTGTTGAGCAGCCAGATTCCTCAAATCCTGAAAGATACGAAAACCAGAGATTTAGGAAAGACCCTCAGCTAACGGGCTGATTCTCACATCCCACCAACTTTGACATTCAGATATCTCACTATTTTTAAAGGCTATGCTTCACGCGTATCCTTAGTTTGCTGCAGAAACAGTCTCAATTTGTTGTGAGCTGTCCCAGTTTTGAACTAGTGTTTTCTCTTTTCCCCAACACGGGTTTTGCCATATGAACAATCTGCAACACCTCATTAACAATGATGATGAAGATAACACAGCCCTGAGCAAGGATTTGCCCATTACCTATTGTACCCTTAATGCTGCAGTGTGTATCCCCATCTCTATCACTGCCTTGGTGCTACCCACCATCGTCCTTTTGTTTTGGATTGCAGGAGAAATTGCAGAGGGCACTGCCACCTTATGCCCAAATGACACTTCTGAAGTATGTGCCAAGTTTTACTCTTTTGAACGTGCGCTAGAACACTGGGTTTAGCAGTCTTTTGAGCAGAGGTTTGCCATTTTTTGTCTTCTAGCCTGAATAAGACATTATAGTGGCCTTCTGAAAGACACTATATTGGTCTCCTGAAAGTCACTATATTGGTCTTCTGAAAGACACTATGTTAGTCTTATGAAAGACACTATATTGGTCTTCTGAAAGACATTATGTTGGTCTTCTGAAAGAAACTATGTTGGTCTTCTGAAAGACATTATGTTGGTCTTCTGAAAGACACTATGTTGGTCTTCTGAAAGACACTATGTTGGTCTTCTGAAAGACATTATGTTGGTCTTCTGAAAGACACTATGTTGGTCTTCTGAAAGACACTATGTTGGTCTTCTGAAAGACATTATGTTGGTCTTCTGAAAGACACTATGTTGGTCTTCTGAAAGACACTATGTTGGTCTTCTGAAAGACAGGTATACCTGTGTTCAAAAATAGTTTGGCTGATGAGTCAGTGTGATGGAGGATAGATCCAGGATGAAGCAGGAGAGAAATTAAAAACAAAATAAAGTGAAGATGCATTTAAAAAGCATATATAATTGTGAGGAGAAAAATCCTAACTAAGAGGGAAAAATCCATATACTATTAATATATTAGTAGCTCAAGCATTTAACATTTTAGTCAAATCCTGAGTCTGTACCACACAGATACACCCTGTTCCGTCTTATTTCTACAATATAAAAACAGTTTAAAAATCAACAGAGAACACACCTCCTGAATCTTTTCTTTGATATGTGGATTTTGTTTTCAGTAATGAAGAATGATTCTCTTAGGTATCCCTGGGCCATCAAATAACAAATTCCACTTTTTTTTTACTGTAGTTTATCATCACATTTACATCTTCAGTAACTATCACCAAATCTTTATTATGGTCATAGACCAGTGGGATACAGTCAATACTGAACAACTATGTTTTCCCCCAAAGTTATATTTTCTATTAAACTATTAATATTATTAAATTTAACACACACACCCCTCGAGGATCTTTATGGGAAATGATCAAACCAAAGAGCCTTCACATTTCTCGTCAATACAAAAAATAAAATCTAAAATCTGATATTCATTTCCACTTTTCTAGCACCCCTCAAGCTTAATCTTGGAATTAATTGGCTAGATCAATACTTCTGATTCAAGACAATAAAACTCAGGTGTGAAAACGTGATCTCCAAGAATAATGCCAATATTTGGCTTCCCATCTACTCTTGGCCCTGATTTCAATGCTAAACAATCTTTAAAGGTTGCCAGTCAACTTCTCTCTCATAACAGACCCCACCCTATGACATACCTGAGTACGTGGTCCCTCTGGATCCCGGCAGGTTGCAAAGATCCATTGTGGTGGGTTGCTTTTCTCAGCCAGCTGTTTGATCATCTCCAAGCCGATGCCCCGATTACATCCCGTCACGAGGACACTGCGTGGATTCAGCACTTCCATATTTCCTTAGCCGCCGGTCTAGAACAACCTAAGATAAAAAACCTCTGGTGACTGTCTTCTCTTTTACTAACCTCTATCTCAGTCCCAAGTGTTTGCAAACACCTCCTATATAATGTTCGAGGTACAACGAAGAGGAAGAGATAACTGATCTGTTGGGTGCAATGCCTGGATTTAATAAGTACCTGATTAACCTTTGGACCATTTCAGGCTTTCTCCTATAGGTTTGCAGATTTCCTGACTAAGCAATAGAATCTGAGACCTCCCTATTTTCCATCTGCCCTTTAAAAGTTGGCACAAAAGACAAATAGGGAATGGGGTACAAAGAGGAGGAGAAGCCAAACAAACATAAGCAACAGTTCTTCGGTGTGACACTTAGCTAAAGAATAAGCCAAGGTCACCAACCACAATACTTGGATCATAAAAAAGAAGTGAAAAAAGCACTAGGTACACCCAGTGCTATATAACAAAGGAGAGGCTCCACTAAACTCAGGGTGGGAAGGTCTGAAACAAAAGAGGCAGTTACTCAGCAGCACAATATTCTTTCTGTGTGCGGCTCTCCCAGGTTGAGGTGTTACCTTTCCCAATGAAAGCTAGAGAAACATCCATTCTTACTAAAGGTGATCCCCACCCTTAACAAATGAATTCGCTGACAACTTTTATAAAGTCTTCATCTTACTTCAGTGGGGGAGGAGGCTGTGTTGGTGCAACCTAAAGTAAAAGCATTTGTCAAAATATTTTGATTGTTCCTAACCGCAAGAAACACGGCTTCCTTAGGGATAACTCATTACATAAAAGGAAGTTTTACATAAGAGTAACCTCACACCAACAAATAAACAGTGCTTTCAACTTCACTGGCATACTATTACTTTGGTTTTTTTTTCTCTGTTTATTTTCAGTCCCGCCATTTCTCCATAGTGTTCTATCTTTCCCAGTAATTTAGGAATCATTTCCAAAGGTTCTTCCAAGATAAATACCAAATCATCAGCAAATGCTTGTAATTTATATGTTTCCTGTATATTCAAGCTTAATTCAGATGTCATCCATTCAGTGTGATGGGGGGGGGAGGTTGTTTGGTTTGCAAAACCTAGATATGTCTCCATGAACCATTAGATCACACAAGGAACCCGTTGTCTGTTGCTCGGACTCCATCATGAATCCTGTAAGAGCTAACAATAACTTCTTTGAGGTTTTTTTTCCATCCTAAACATAACTATTTTATTTTTTCATTAGGGATGGGGCTTGAGCTCTCCTGGACAACACCCAGATGCTAAAACAACAATGTGAAAACAGCAACAGCTGAAATTCTCATGAGATTTTTTGGCACACTTCAAGATCTTTAAGGACTTCAGAATCTCTCCCAAGATTGTGGTCTTCTGCTTCAAGATAATGGTGAACCTTTCTGTGAGCTTGCAAGATATTACAGCAGGGGTCTTCAAACTTGGCCCTTTTATGACTTGTGGTTTTCAACGCCCAGAATTCCTCACCCAGGTCCGCTGGCTGAGGAATTCTGGGAGTTGAAGTCCACAAGTCATAAAAGGGCCACGTTTGAAGACCCTGTATTACAGGATCTCACCTCCATCTTGCAGAACAAAATCTGTCAGATTTTAATCAGTGTTTAAAAGGCGTTTTTATTATTTTAGCTTTACTTTTGGGTTGGGGAGAAGACTGCTTGGGAGATTCATTGTATTGTGCTTCATGTGAGGACCTCTCCTGAGGTCTCACACAAAATGAAAGTCAGGAGTTAACAAGAAAAACAAGTGCCAGCATGATCAAGGTCCAGTCCAACAAAATAAGGCAAAGGGTACCGGGTCCAGTAGCAACATTCGGTGTTGTTTTGCTCCCAGTCTACACCAGTGTAATCCCATTTGATTTCCAAACTTCTGCAAATTGACACAGTTAGCTTTTGGTTCAACTTACATTCTGTCCTTGGCAATAATACACAGCAGGACTACAAAACAGAGAAACAGGTCTGTCCTGAATTTGCACCAAAGTGTAAGTTGTTCTGTTGTGAAAGGAAGAAAACTGACATTTAGAAGAGGGCAAGAGAAAGCGAGCTGGGTAGTTGTAGATTTGTACAGCTTTCTGGGGGCATTGTGGACGGGAAACTCACATCTTCCTATACCTCCTTGTGGCATCTTAGTGTGAGCCAGCCCGGGAGGATGATCCAAGTTTTAAAACAGGAAAGCTCCCTTTTTATGACCCTGTAATACCTTAATTCGGGGTACAGTCAGGGTGACTGGATGGAGTTGAGAGTTTACTGGACAGATACTCTTCCTAACACCATGCGGGGTTCACAGCAATTTTTTTTTATTTCTTAGTGCCCTAAGAGAGAAAAATCTACCACTACCTCGAATGGAACTCTCCGTTCAAATATTTTTATTAGTTTATCAAAATATAAATTACAGAAATACAAAGAAAAATGAAGATAAGAAGAAAAAGGAAAGAGAGAAAAGTGTAGGGTAAAGGGGAAAAAAAAAGCACTGACTTCCGACTTCTTTTGCTGCAGTAGAATAAGATAGTAACATAAAACCTCGACTTTTTTGAAGTTGTGTAGAAAGACTTGGATAGACCCATGCCTGGATTTAGACATGGAGGGATAGCAATCGCACTTAGACTTATATACCGCTTCATAGTGCTTTACAGCACTCTCTAAGTGGTTTACAGAATCGGCATAATGCCCCCCCCCAACAATCTGGGTCCGACCTGGGAAAGATGGAAGGCTGAGTCAACCTTGAGCCAGTGAGGATCGAACTGCTGGCAGTCAGCAGAATTAACCCACAATACCCCATTCTAACCACTGCGCTCTTATGGGACGGGGTTTGAAGATGTAGGCTATGCAAGTGGTTAACAGAGAAGAAGGTTGGGGAACATCTGAACCTAACATACAAGTGATGGAATAGGAAAGGATCGTCTCCGTACCTGGGATACATTCCCGCTGAAATAAAGTTGATCTTAGTTAATAAGGATCACATGAGCGATACAAAGGGCATAATTTATGGAAATTCTATATGTGATTTTATGATAAAATGGTAACAAAATTGTAAAAACCCTCTGAATTTTTTGCAAGGCCCCTTCAAATTGTGAGCGCCTAGGATGTAGTTTGCTTAGCCTCTGTCTAAATTTGGCTCTGGATGAAGCAAGCAACGGAATGGGCTTTTTTCCTGGAACATATTTTCAAGGAGTGTTCCTAGAACAAACATATTGGAAAACTAGACAATGGCCTCTTAGTTGGCATTGTTCTTCACTGGACTTTGCTCCAATGTTCCTATTTAATTTTTGAAAGTTATAACTGTTGCTCCCAGTTCCTTGAACAGGTAATCTAAAGTCAATAAATACCCCAGAGCAGATCTACCTTGTGAGACTTTGATGAGAACCATGCTTAGGATTTACTCCATGAGCTTAGAAAGTGTTTACAGTATCTAGACAAATATTAAGTTGGCTCATGATTCAACCTGTTAAATCAGCAAAATCAGTGGCTCTTTCTTCCAAACAGGCTCAAGTTTTACAGGGTTAGTGCTGGGTCTTCTCCTGTGTCTTACCATGCTTGCTTTAAGGACTTCTAGTCAAATGTAGTGAAAACTTGCCTCCAGAAGTTGTGGGTGCCCCAACTCTGGAGGTTTTTAAGAAGAGATTGGACAACTATTTGTCTGAAACGGTATAGGGTTTCCTGTTTGATCAGGGGGTCGGACTAGAAGACCTCCAAGGTCCCTTCCAACGTTGTTATTCTGCTAAGTTCTATTAGAGCTGTCTTTCTTCAGCGCCCATGCCTTTGCATCAACCTTCTCCAATCTGAAATTCCTCCAGATGTTTGAACTTCAACTCCCAGAAGTCTAAGTGTTGCCAGGCTGGCTAGAAGATTTGGTGAGCCAAAGTCTAGAAGATTGATGTGGCTTCTAAAAAAATATTCCTTTCTGACCTTTCACGGAGGACTATAGAGATTTTATATTTTTTTTAAAAAAATGACTTTGTTAAAGAACACAAATAGAAAGAATAAAAACCGACTTGGCAGAAGGGGCATGTTTGACTTTAACTAAATTTTAAATTCAAGATCCCTATTTATTCTTTTACAGCGGTGGGATTCAAATATGTGAACAACCGGTTCTCTGTGTGGATGCTGCTTCTGGAAGTCCGTTCTGGGTCTGGGCAACAAAAAATTAGCTACCGGTTCTGCCGAAGTGGTGCGAACTGGCTGAATCCCACCACTGTTCCTTTAGTGTCTTACAGTGTACAAACAAATAATACAGCCTAAGGGAGGGAAAAAAAGTAAGAATTAAAGTGCAAAAAAAGGAAAAATAAAAAAGTAACTTCCCCCTTCATCAGGACAACTGTAAACAATTTTAGTAACTTAACTCCCATCTCTTAAAGTACACCAGACACCCAGTTTATCCCCTACCTTGTTGCTTCACTAAAAAAGACAATTCCACTTGCCGTTAGTCAGCAAATATCTTATCTTGGTTTCCCTCTTTCTTCGCAGCACTGCTATGACCACCTTTGCAATTCTGGAACACATTAATACTCCTCAATTTAAGGTAGTTCCATTTGCCCGAAAGTCATCGTCACCATCATAACTGGACAGTTAGGAATATGTTGGGGGGGGGATCTTGTTTCCGGATGATGGATTGGAGCAGGCGTCTTGTGTTTTAAACGAAGCTCTCTGCTTCCTGCCACCCTTGTCGGGCTTCTTTGCCCTGCAACCAACAATTATTGCTGTATCTCTAAAAGGAGCAAATGTTTCGGTGGTGGCAGGAGCAAAAAAAGGGGACAATTTATTTCTGCTCTTGACGCAGCTCCATCTTTGGTTATCGAGCGGGAAAAGCCATCGTCTGGTACGAAAATCTGCCTCCTTGTGGTCTCTTTAAATATCTACTGGGTTACTTTCCTTATATTTCTTCCCAAGCTGAGTAAGTACTCAGTTCGACAAAAATGGGCAAGCAAATTCAACAAAGATGGGATAGTTCTCTTTATTATTTCCCCACTGCCTTGGCTTGTTAGAAAGTCGCCAAAGGGGATCACCTGACCTTAGGACACGGCAACGGTCATAAGCATGAACCAGTTTCCAAGCGTCTGAATTTTGATCACGTGACCGTGGGGATGCTTCAAAGGTCGTAACTGTGAAAAATGGTCACAAGTCCCTTTTTTCAGTGCCCTTGTAACTTTGAACAGTCACTAAGTCCTTTTGTAAGTCAAAGACTGTCTGTATTCCTTTGGGGAGAACAGTATGTAAAGCCGCTGGGGGAGATCATTCGTGGCTTTGGGGTGGACTTCCATCAGTACGCTGATGACACTCAGCTGTACATTTCCACCCCAGGCCACCCCAACGATGCCCTTAACGTGATGGCCCGTTGCCTGGAGGCCGTACGGGTCTGGATGGGGAGAAACAGACTCAGGCTCAACCCTTCCAAGACCGAGTGGCTGT